AGTCCCCTCCGTCCGCCAGCTTCCTGGGTTTTCATGCTCCAGTCCAGGGCCTTCTGAAGGACCCCCTCCACATGGCCGGCGCCTACAGGCACTTCCCTGGTATGCCCTGCCCCTGTTCACTCTGCCAGCCTTTGCCCACCACTACCTCCACATTACACAGCGTGTCTATGACCAAGTGAGCAGGGCTGTCTTAAAAACTGACCTCTACTGTTCGGATCAACACAATGAACCAAGCAGCTCACAGGAAATTGTTAAATGAACTGCAAAAATGATGGCTGTTGCCAGAGCTTGTACATACTGTATATATCTTGTGCCATGCACCTGCTGCTATTTTTTATCATTTGTGTCATTTGCATCGTTTATACAGAAATATTCTAAATGCACCAGGTAAAATCAGAGTAGCAAATACTGTAATTTATCTGATGTCTGTGGTGATCAAACATTGTCAGAAATGGAACTGGTGTGCCCTATTGTGTAGGATTTCTATTTTCCTAAATTAAAATTTTGTTATAATAATAACTATTGTTTGCCTTCTTCTTTTCATGAATGTTATTTTTAAATTAATTATGTATACTTTTGTGTTTTCCCTGACTGTTGTTCATTTTGTATTTGTGGAACAAAAAAAACCAATATCTGCCAGGCACTGTATCTTCTTACAAGGCAGCTAATTTTCTGAGAAGGTTTTAGACACATACAACAGCTGTATCAAAATAATACAACAACATAATCTTTATTAAACAGAAGGGGCCTTATTGGTGTGAAAGGACAGGAGGGCAAAGCAAAAATGAATATTTAGGAAAGGATTTCCTTGGTTGCTAACCAGCTTAGGACAGACTGACCTCTAAAGAGCTAAAGAGCGCCAGAAGGACGAGACAATACGCCACAACAGAAGCTGAATGTGGCGTTCTTGAGCCAAGGGACCATCCATCTTCACCTCAACAGGGTGTAGGAGATGAAAGGACGACACAGGCGCCAGGAAGGCGCGTCACTTTTGTCAGACGCAGGCGAAGGACATAGCCATGTCCTTAGCTCTAGGCCAGTGATTTGTCTCTGTGTCATAAGAACATGGAAATAGGCACACAAAGGGCAAATTTAAAGCATACAGGATTTTCTTCTTTAACATGTGTACTAAATATTTCCACGTTATATCTTCACACATTAACAAATCATATTTTGTTGCATTTGTGTAAAAAACAAATCAAGTGTTAGCTGATTCATAACAATGACTAATCCTCTAAACCACAGAGATAACTGTTATTCACACCGATTGCCATGAACATGATTTAGTCAAACAACCCAACAATGGCTGGCCTTCACTTAGCAACAAATCAAGCGTGTAAAATACATGCTTATCCTCCCACGGCTGACAGATGAGTTGGAGATCAGGGGAGAAATGAAGAGATGTAACTCATTCTCACCCACCTCCTTCCTAACCCACCTCCTCCTCCTGAAGGGCCCTGAATAGGTTTGAACAATAGCCATGCGTGGGACACAAAGGCCAGGGGAGTCCAAGCTCTCGTGCCTGGGACACAGACCCCCTCCATTCAATCTACATTTCATCATGGTAACAAGCGCCGTCGGGCCAAAAGGCCTGACACCCTCGCTCACCACAAAGGCGGTTAGCTCTAATATATGAGGCTATTGACACTGAAAAGGGCCCCTGTCAGTACTAGGGGATTGTCAGCTGTGGGATGTCTCAGTGGGGGGAGGCAGCTGCCAGCCAAACCAAGCGGTGGAGCTTCTGTCGTGGGGACCAGCACTGCAGCGTCACCTGGTCCCTGGTCCCTTGACACAGAGACACAGGGTCCTCCCACAAGGCCCCCCTTTATTTGGGCACAGGTGGGAATGGGAAGCAGAACACATTGTGGAGATTAGTGGGGATCAGCCTCCCTTTACTCTAGGTAGATGATTAGAGACATTGACTTGTGCAAAGCTGGTGTTTCCTGATCGGCACCAGATGGTGTTAACCCACGGTGTGGCATCAGCAGTCTGGAGCGTGTGTGAGAGTGTGGCTGTGATGTGTGTGATGTGTAATGGATATGCTTCTTAAATCATACAATATGGGCAGGTCCTTTGTGTGCCATTATGGTCAGCCGCTGCTGTCATCGGGGTGCTCTTTAGCATTCGCTAACCAGCAGTGGCAGAACTGGTTTTAGTCATAATGTTGTGCAGGATCAACTCTGAAAATCAAACACAGTGATACAGAAAAGGGTCATTTTAGCCGTTAAGGAAGTAATCAGATCCTTTATATGGTACTACAAAGTAGAAATACTCTATTACAAGTAAAAGTCCTGTATTAAAAATGTTACTTAAGTAAAACTACAGACGTATTACCAGATAAATGTATTTAAAGTAACAGAAGTAAAAGCCAAACTGTCAAATTGTTGATTGTGGAAAACCAGTTCATTTATACTGAAAACAACATTCCAACAACACTGGCAGAGAAAAAAGGCCCCTAAAATATAGTGAAGAAGACGTATAAAGTAGCATAAAATTAAAAATCTTAAGTAAGGAACAAATCGTACGTAGTATATTTTATATTTTAAGTAATCCAAAATCTGAGATAAAACAGTTCAAATTGAATTTACTTTACTGCTTATCAGCTGAAGTGAAAAAATCAAAGACACAAAAGTCTTAAACAACACTTGGGATGCAGTGACGACATTACACATTCGCCTTTTGTGCATTAAATGTCATGCAAACACTATCACACCGTGGCCATGTAGACAGATGGATAAGTTAACTGCTTCAGATACTGATCAATAGAGGAGTACTTGTTCCAATGTGGCTCATCACAACCTGCATTGACTGAGTTAATTAGGGGACTGAAAGACCCAATTAAGAGGATGGAGGGGCTGGACAGGGGAGACATATTGCGGGACATACGCACACATTGTGCAGCGTCTGGAGAAGGGGGAACTTCAATTAAGGGAGAATACACTTCCAGAGGCTTGTTGCCTGTTCTTTTTCATTTTCTGCTCAGTAAAGCCTACAGCCCCCTTTTCACTGATGAAGGGAAAGCACAGCTGCTGGGGGTCAACACGCATATGCAATACGGTGTGCCCATGCGCTCACATGCACATCCACAGATGTACCGAGAGCAGGAGACTGATGAGGGGATTCAGGTTGGAATTGCTAAACTAAATTAGCCAACATAACGGCTCAAGAATGGTCTGGATACATTTATTTGGTTTCATGTGCACCTTATTGGTTAAATTGATTTCAATTAAAAAAAAAACACTTGCATATGCTTAAATTGTTAAATCTTTAGTCTCCCTCATAGAAGCATTCTGCTGCAGCCTTCTTCCTCCTTTGTTTTGCGGCACTCCTTCCAACTGTGTTCCAAAACCGCTGTGATTATAACTTCAAATGCATTTACTAAACTTTTGATTTTATCTGGTTCTTTTTGGAAAAAGTTCTCTCTTCTTTTCACACAACGGACAAATAGAGAGTTCAACACAAGTGCCTACACTGAGTGCAGATTTCAAATAATAGTTTTCTCTTCATCATTATTTTCTTGTTTCGTCTTGTCCCACTCATTCCTTGTATAAATGAAATGAGGTTCAAAACACATGATTTCATAGAAGGTATGAACACACATGTAAAAGTTGGTTACCTGTTTGTCAAAAATGGAAAATCTGGAAAATATACATTCTCAAATCTCAGATGACACTCAGAGGTCACAGACTTGGCCTGTGAGGACATCACTTTGATGCACGGTGCTGAAGAGATGTTGTTCTAAGTTTTGCTGTCTGTCTTTTTAGACAGCAGTAGCTCTGTGATTTGATAATTGTGTGACGAGTTTTTTGAAACATTAAACCACTTGCCTGCACCAGCACTGTGTTTGTGTCACCTATTCTCAAAACTCTCATTACTTATAATATGCAGTATCATTACAATAGAGGACAACGGAAAGTTCTCTCCATTAAATTCAATATGATTTACTGGCATGACTCTTTAGGTTAAACAGTGTTGACAAAGCGGTTTGCAGCAAAATCAGAAAGTTTACATTTTGAATCTGACATAACAAAGAATAATTAACGCTATCATGACCATTCAGTTTAGCAATTACAAGTAACAACCACAAAAAAAACAAGTACGGATAGAACTAAAATTACAAACAAGATTAACAAGACCTAATCTGCCATGCAGTGAACACTGAGTGCAAAAGTTCGCTGAGTCACCTGCTATCCCACAGGTTGTGACACAGGAACACATTCTTGGCGGCAAGATTTGCAGTTTGTCCTCCTAGGAATATTCTTAATTTATTGTTATGCTTCTGTATCTCTCACATTTCAGGAGAAAATGCGTCTCCACCTCACCTGTCGTACAGTGTTCACAGACTCTATTTTCTTTTGGTAACCAGGAGATTTTATGTCTCCCTTTTTCAGTTGCAAGGGTATGGTCACTGAGTCTGTACTTGGTTAGAAGCTGCCTCTGCCTGATATCTCTGACAGTAAAGAGATATGCAGCCATTTCATAATCTCTGTTCAGGACCAGATGACGATCTAGTTTGTGTTGGTTTTTGTCTCTTCCTCCCAAATAAGCATTTTTGCTTTGAGAGATAGTTTGGTTTACTCTAATTGGTGTTTAGTGCTGGTTTGAGAAAGGTGTGTGTGACAGTCTCCGTGAAGGCAGTCATCTAGGTCATGGTTATCCAATGAAGGTTAAAATCAAGGGCAGAATCTTTAAACAAAGTCCAGTTTCCCTTGATTTTACCCTTCCTTGGATGTGTGTGACATGTTTTAGGATTTGTTACTCTCAGGACTAGCTGGCATAAGGACTCTCTTGATTTCATGCTGCCTTCAGTAGACTGCTGTAGGTCACTTCCCACTTTAAAGCCTTGCCTTTGCTACTCAGTGTTGCCGTCCTATTTGGTCCTCTGCAGCCACCATAGATAGAGCACATACTGTAAAAATATTGCTGATTACAAACTGTAAAAGGTTCATTTGTAAAACAGTGATTTCTGTGTGTGTGTGTGTGTGTGCGTGTGTCAAAGTGACATATGGCAGAGGGGACGTCATGCATCACGTGTGTATTTTTTCAAAGCCATGCACCCGAGGTTAGAGTTCAGTAAATACTGATGATGTCATCGTCTGAAGATGGCTGAAGGGTGAGAGTGAACTCGCAAATTACTATTTGTTAAATATATATATATATAACATAACAGATAGCACCGACGTCATGTACACATTGTGTCCCTTATTGCGTTTTGTGCCTAATACGACTCGGTGTAATTACTTTGTCTAAACGCTTTACTTTATAGCTCACGGAACGTGTTCAGGAAGTGCAGTTGTTTACCAAAACATAGCATGGCTAGCGTTAGCGTAGCCTGATTAGCTATGGTGTAGAACATCTTAAATCACAGAGAAACAACTGTGAATTGTGCTGAAGTGTTTACATCCAGCGTGTATGTTCAACCAATCGCACTCGTGGCTTGTTCCGACAATTTAGCTTGCGTGGCACTGATAGCTGACGTTAGCTAACTCCTTTAGCTTGCTAGGCTCAGTGTGTGTGAGTTAGCTTGATATACGTTGACAAAGTCAACAGCTGACAGTCAATAATTGAGTCTAAATAACTAAATAAGTCAGGTCCCGCTAAATCGACAAGCCATTTTGAGCATTTGATAAATGTCAAACAGTCGTCCATTTGTGGTGTGATGTTTAAAATCTTTTCTCAAACGTTACTGTTTTGGTTTTGAAGTAGCCAATTTCTGAATGTCCGTGTGATTGCAGAGAAGGCTGGTGGGGAGGCTGGCTTCAGCAGAGCTTCCAGGCCGTCAAAGAAAAGGTAACCCACATAAAGAAGTCATAAATTAGTTCTTATTATCTCTTCTCTTCCTAATGTATCTGTAGTTGTTGCTCAGCATTTTCAATGTTTGTTTGATGTTGCTCAGAGGATTTCATAACGCATTAAGTAGAGAAAAACAGCAGATTTTAGTGAACAACGTATTCAGTTGTCATGAAATCTCAGAGCTGAAACATATACATACCCAGGCACCATTATTATTGACGAAGTAAAATACATGGATAATACTGCATAGGCCAACAACAAGTCAGCAAAGGCTTTTCCTCCAAATAACTCAAACTCCTCAAATCAAAGCTGACACACATTTTTACAGCTATATGTCCTAATCTATTGTAACATGATTTGTGAACCTTTACCTCTGGCACTAAAAACTGGTTGCACAGCATTGTTTAGGTGATAGGCAAGATCATACTGCCCCACCAATCGGTTAGCATGAAAGTTATAGCTATTAATTTCTGAGAACATCTCTTGTACAAAGACATTTGAGCTTTACGGTTCCAGGAAGACATTTTAGAACAAATTCATTCAGTATACCTGATGGTTGTTACTCAAAGACCAGATGTAAATCAGGCCTCATTAATAAACGTTATATCTTTTGTATCTATTATTGGTGTGAACTGCATGTCTTGTGTTATGTTTGTATATTTTTTTAAGACATTCACACTTGTCCGAAACATGACTTTCCTAATGTAAATGGTAAAGGTGAATCTTCATCCTTCATTATTTGACTCTCTTCTTTGCAGTCATCTGAGGCCTTGGAATTCCTAAAGCGAGACCTGACAGAGTTCTCCACTGTGGTGCAACATGACACAACCTGCTCACTCGTGGCAACAGCCACTGCTGTCAGAAATAAACTTGCAGTAAGTTGCAGCCTTCAGCCTTGTTGTTTTTATCTTAGTATCTCCTGATAATCAGGTCAAATGCAGGTTGGATGTGTGTTCGGGAGACCAACATCATGTGCACGTCTCTCGTACAAAAGGGGTATTAGTTGCGAAATACCAATTCTAATCTGTCTGTTTATACTGCTTTCCAGGTGGAAGGTTCCTCTGAGACTACAGAAAAGGTGAAGAAGAGCCTCTCTAGTTTCTTAGGGGTCATCTCAGACACACTTGCTCCACCCCCGGATAAAACCATTGACTGTGATGTAATCACACTGGTGGCAACGGCAGCAGGAACTACAGAGGTTTATGACAGTTCTAAGGTGGGCAGTAGCGTCATCAGTTATTACAACAAGTTGACTGTAACACAAGGAGTTTCTAAATGATAAAACAGCAGTGTTAAGCATGGCCCTTGTGTAGGGGTTCTTGTGAATAAATAATCGAATGGGAAATGTAACTTTCTTGTCAGTTTCCCTAAAATAAAAACTGAAGGAAGTGTTGATTCAGGACAGATTTGGATGTTTTGTTATAAGAGGCTACATGAGAGGGAAAGTGAGCACATGATGTGCATGTGGAAACAAAACAACCACAGATAAGAATTTTTTTTTCTTGCAGGCACGTCTCTACAGTTTGCAAGCTGACCCTGCTACATACTGCAATGAACCTGATGGTAAGACAAAGTGAAACAGTGCAAGGCCTCCACCAGAATGTTGGACCAGTATTTGTTATTTTATATTTGAAGTAAGGTATTCTTTCATTTATTTATTCGAGGTTTTAAGACAACTTAGTATTTATACTACTCATCTGTTTGATAAATAATAATAATAATAATAATCATAAAAGTTCTCTGCCTTTAAAAGCAGGTAATTTCTTTGTTTGAGCATTATTAGGATTTTAATCCTAGAAATGTAATGGAACGACAAGTTTAGTTTGCTGGATTTGTGTGGTGACCCACTTTTTTTATTCAAAATGTGATCATTGTAAGGTGGATGGGGTAATGCATGCTTTCTAAATATGTACAGATGCTCTTTGGTGTTCTTGAGTGTATTATAATAATTTATTTTTTCCAGGTCCCCCAGAGCAGTTTGACAACTGGCTGTCCACTTTCAGTTTGGAAGATAAAAAGGGAGAAATCTCAGAGCTTTTGGTCGACAGTCCCTCTATACGCGCCCTTTATACCAAAATGGTATGTATTGTTGCTAGGGCTGCACTATATTGGAAAAAATGACATTGCGATATTTTTCTTTTCTGTGATATATATTGCGATATGAAAAAATACAGGAATTTTCAACAGATGACCCCAGTTGCTCTATGTGAAATTAATTAAGCATCCTAGAATTATTGGGATAATTATGTAGGAAATAATGTATAGAAAATAAAAGTAAATTAGCTGAAAAATGTCTTTATAGTCTGAATACTTAGTTTGAGTGCTACTATCCTTTCTTAAGTTTTTATGCTGTACACATATTTTAAACAAATGATGAAAATAAAAATTAAAGAGCGGCTATACACCAGCCCCCCCGGGTGGTTTTAAAAAGTTGCTTTTCTTTTTGCAACCAAATCCGGTGGTTTTCTCCTGTTCCTCACTTATTTTCAAGTTAACAGCTAACAGGGTTGGGGCCTGATCAAGAACAATATTATGATTGGAGGTGTAGAGTGCATGCAGAGCCTGCTTGTTACTCACTAGCAACAACAAACTCTGTGTATACAAGAACCCCTTAAATCTGAGTAAATGATTACATCAGACAGCCTTCTCTTGTAGATTAGTCATGAAAAATGAGAACTGTGCAAGTTTTTCTTTTGTAAGTTTTTGAGTTAATTTGACTTGCTTGACATTGCATTGTTCTGCGATGTGACTATTGTGCAAGGGCACATTACGATGACGATGCTCAAACAATATATTGTGCAGCCCTAATTGTTCCTTTTGTCAACACTTATTCTTACAGAGCACAGCTTACAGATTTCTTTTTAACTAATACATTACATTCAGTTGGAAGATACTTTTGTCCAAAGCGACCTTCTTTGAGTGCTTTCACATGCAAAAAGAACAAGAACTGGACATCATCAAGAATTGGAAGAGCAATAAACCAGATATGGACTTTTTTTTTTTCATTATTCACAGGTGCCAGCAGCTGTGGCCCATTCAGAATTCTGGCAGAGGTATTTCTACAAAGTCTTCCAGTTGGACCAGGTAGTCATGCTATTTTCTATGGTGGATTTTAGCCTGCAGACTATGGACAGCATGTCAAGTAACCTTTCCCATCAGCTCAGTGTCTTGGGTGCCACCTGCTGGCCAATTTCTTAGCTACCATGGATTGTTCTTTTCAATGTACTGTCACCCTGCAGGATTTGTCCTGACTTAAAATGAGAGGAGATTGATGTCTCAAATATGATATACTGAATGTTGATTTGTGAAAATAGGACGAACAAAATATATAAATATGTTCGAGGCACTACCTACTGTGCCTGTAGAAAGCACTAGTTATGTTATGTACAATTACACAGATGCCAACCAAAGCAGATCTTTTTCAGATTTTTACCAGCAACTGCCCAACACACATTACAACAGCCTGTTAATCAGGAAGCTGAAGCTACCTTTAAATTTTACGCAACGCACATTCATTTCATTTTGAAGGTCACTAAAACAGGACGATACACTCATTGAAATTCTTGCATTAATGTATTAAAACATAAAAAAATCACTCTGATTGTGTCTTCTAGGAGGAGGCGAGGAGAGTGGCATTGAAGCAGAGGGCTGAACAGACTACACACACAGAGACCCTGGGCTGGGAGGAGGAGGAGGAGGGTAAGCTATCCTCAGTTTTACATTTTAATAAACTGATTTATTTTCAGAACTGTCCCTTACACTTCCTCTCTTGATATTCCTGTGGTTACTTTCAGATGACTTCCTCGGCACCACGTCATCATCTCAACTTAACTTTACTCCCCCGTTGGACAGCCGCTCAACGCAGCTGCCCACGACCTCAACGACTCCAACAGGAATGACTCTGCTGAGCCCCGTCCTGTCTTCCAGCGAAGAGCGTGACCCCACCCTCTCATTCAGCAGCGACAGCGTCAGCCTGCCGACACAGGTAGAAGTGCAACCAGAGCCTGTTGCCACTGAGCTGGCCGAGAGAATGACAGAAGCTAGCTTGGAAGATGTAGATAAGGCACAAGAAGAGCAGAGGCTGCGAAAGAGTGACTTACCTCTTGAGGCTCAATTGGAAGTAACTCAGCCAGAGGTCACTGTTGATGGGGTGTCCGTGCGGGCTTCGGCCCCCACCACTAAGCCAGAAGCAGCAAAGGAGGACGGCCCGCAGGACCTGAGAGTGTTCGAGCTAAATTCTGACAGCGGGAAATCTACGCCCTCTAACAATGGCAAAAAAGGTACGATGACCTGAGAACATTTGTCAGTTGGCAGTGAGGTTCTTACTGTTCCAGTGTGGGAGAATAAGTCCAAACAGGATTAAGTTCAGTGATATGGTTTTGAGTTTTCCACTAAATAGGCTTAGAAGAAGCAGCAGAGTCAAGGTCACACAGTTCCAAATTTGTCTTTTCCCCCTCCAGGGTCCAGCACCGATGTGAGTGAGGACTGGGAGAAAGACTTTGACCTGGACATGACCGAAGAAGAAGTCCAACTGGCACTCTCTAAAATAGAAGCCTCTGGAGAGGTTAGTGTTAAGTTATCGTTGCGACATTCACCAGAATCTTAAATGAAAATAGTAAAAAAAAATTAAAAGGTTTTTTGAACCCCTTTTCTTACCAGATTGATGAAGACTGGGAGAACTGGGACTGAGAGCCACTGCGACATGAACTCTGTCCCGCCATTAAAGCTAGTTCTCGGCAGACGAACCATGCTTAACGTGTTTTAACTCTTTGTCCACACTGTCACCATGTCATGATTGTCAGTAGGGGATTTTCCGCCTGGTTTGGACCATATTGGTAAACCTGTTGAAAAGCGCAACGGGAAGACCAAGGCAATAAGAATTAGACTGCTCCGTCAGCTGTCAGTTTAGTGCAGATTGGCCGCTAGTGAGGGTAATGAGTCAGGTCTTGGCTATTTCTAGGAGTAATTTGTGACTTGGAGAGCATATGACACTAGTAACAGACAGAGGTTGTAATCATTCTGACCTTAAAGCTTAATGATGCGCAGTGACAAGTCAGAATGTGAAAGGTTTCACTGCAGCAGGGGAGGATATGTTTTCCTTTTATGCCATTAAATTCATCATCTATGTTGCGAGTGTATTTCAAGTTGACCAACGACATAACTGCAGGCTGCAAAATAGCCATAAACTAATGCTGCTTGTCACCTTCCTAAGATGAAGTACTCCGCAAGTGATTTTTGAATGGTGATGATCAATTTATTTAATTCTGCCTGTGCCCCTTGCTTTCTTTCTCATCTTTATTATGCAAGTGGATCTTCAAATAGAGAGGGGAAAACATTCTGGCCTTCATTCATAGAGCATTTTTCATTTTGGATTCACTCCCAACTCTAGATATATGGCCTTGTAAAACACACAGTAGTGTGATAATGTTATCCAAATGTCTTTGTTACAAGTCAGTCACCTGAACCACAACCAGCTAATGTCTCAACATTAGACATTTCCCCACTCTCTGTCATGTCATGTGATTCATTTGAATATATGAGCTTGTTGCAGGCTACGTGTAACTTTCTGTCACCTTTAAGCATTTCACTTCTTTGAGTTGCTTATCCGTTTGTCTTATTCGGGTAGAGGGAATTCATTAATTATCACTCATTAGTCATAATGATAAAAGTCATATCTGACTTAAAGAGAATTCAAACTGGTCCTGGATACTGGATTCTTTGGCTTGAAACTGAAGGTAGCGTCTGTTGTTATTTACTTGTAGAGGGGAATATGACAACTCTGTGAAGCTTTAAGTTTCTGTCGCGGCCCATGTTTGGAACAAAATAGCTCAGCAGGCCGTGTGCCAAGTAGACCAAGGAGCAAGATGAGCACGCTCCATGCTTCCCTGATTTCCTTTTCCATCACCTGTAATGTAACTGAGAAAAATAATCCTAGAGAGGTAATATTTATACTAAAATAAATGCTTAATTATTGTATCATGTGCTTTGGATTGCATGTCTGTGCAATAACATGCAAAACACTGTGCAGATGTTTTCTGTTTCTGAGTTGTATGTTTTTCAGTAAAGACATTGGCTGTTCAGGTTTTTGTGTTCAGACAATGTGTTGACAATGTTGTGCATGTTTGTAATTCTCAGCTGTGTATTCCCTTAACCTTCACACTTTGAACTAATTGAGCAAAGCTGTTCTACACACATCTGATTCAAAGCTGTCAAGTTCTTTTTTTTTTTTTTTTTTTTTTTTTTTTTTTTTATTAAGTCAAGTATTTCACTATATTTTTCAAATGATCATTGTCATTAAAGGATTCATGGCAAATGGGTTTAGTGTCGTGTATTAACTAATCTGATAAGGTCATTTTGTTACTCAAGAAGAAAAATCATCAATCTGTTTAAAGGCAGACATGTTTACAAAAACATTGGTAGTGCATTAAATATCTTCAAGTAGAGTACAAACAATGCACTGGAAATTACCACTCATATCAAAACTCCACCTCCATAATGTGTGCTTAGCAACAGAGTTGTTTTGCTACTCTGAAGAAACAATGGGTATTTAAAAAAAACATTTACAATAAAAAGTAAATGCTGTTTTAGTCAAACGTTTAACTGAAGAACCACTGAAATGTAACACCTTTCTAAGTATTTTCTTCTGGGAGAAGCTACCAGAGGAAAGCCTTATTGCTGTCTGTGCCCCTGTACGTAATTACATAGCAGGTACGTATCTGTGGGTGGGGACTTTACAGTGGAACAGTCAGTACTATGAACAAAATAGTCACTAATACAAAGAATTGAATTTACAATCTTTTTGAATTTAATGTGACTGGTGCTGTATGAACAAACAGTTTGTGGAAACAACGTGGGTGGACACTTCTGGTTTGTCTGACTATAAGTTTGTCCCTCTGTATATACTGAATATCATCAACAAGTTCTTGTTGATCTTTTCTGTACATTGAGGACTGTTGCTTGGGTGTTCAGTTGTAATGACCGGATAACAATGAATTGACAATGCTTTCATGGCAAAAATGATATATATATATAGTTAGTTAGTTAGTTTTTACATCTAGTGAAATTTTCAAACCCAAGACCTTCCCGTGACATTGTTTGTATCTTTGGAACCTCCAATACAACTCAAAATCACGTACTGTGGGTTTGAAGTTCAAACACATTGTACAAGATTGTTATTGTTAAGTTTTAGCATGATCTCTTTATGGAAGCAGTTTCTGTGCGCATTAAAATGCCTGCGGTATGAAAATGGGTCACCTGATGGCGTTGTTGCTCCATTAGGCAGCCCCAGTTACAACCTGCCACTCCTTTTCTTTCAGCTGCAGCATCCATCTCACAGACATGGATTGGCTGCATTTTCTCGCATACAGTTGTTCATCCTCAGTTGCATTAATACTCTATTTATCTGCTGTTTTCCCTCAGAATCTCTCTTAATTTTCTTTTCTGGATGCCTCAGGAGAAGCAGCAGGCAGTCAAAATGAAATGTTTATATGGTTTTTATGGTGGCATCAGCTGGGCTAATGTAGGTCACTGTGGAGGGACACCTGCACAGCGTGCTGGCTCTGCAACATGGATGCTGCCTCTAAAGATGGCTACTGTCTGTGTCTGCCTGGCCTTTTCTTTCTCTCCGTCGTGTGTGTGTGTGTGTGTGTGTGTGCAGGGTGGGTGTGGCCGTAGGGGGGACTGATGAGTGACTGAATGATGAAACAGGAAAGGGGATGCATGACCATCACAGTCTGTTGCACCAAAGTTAAGACTAACAGAGCATCGGTAGAGAGGAAAATTCATATCAGGCGTTGATCTCCCTTTCAGATTTTATGACAGAATAAAGTTAACCCTGAACCTAGTTAAAATATTCAAAGAGGATTGTGGTCAACTCAGGCGAGTCAAATGAATCACTCTAAATACTAAGGGCCATACAGGCTTTGACTCTTGAGATGTGTTGTTTGTGGCAGAAGTTGGAGAACATCATCTAAAAAAAAAAGACATGACCTTGTTTACCTGCTTATTTGTTGAGTGTTTTTACTGCTCTTCTGACACCAGCACCCTCACACCCGTAGTAGTAATGTCTTGTGCATATGCTGCCCTAACTGGACCCCAAATAACACAGACACCATATACATTACATTCTTTCTTACTCTGTTCCCACTCAGAGGTCTTAAGTCAGCAGAAAGGCTGTAAAGGAATTTCCTGTTGAAGCCCACCGCTCCCTGGGCCTGCAGGGTTGTGTGTGTGCTTTACATTACCACCGGCTCTCACCAATGTCATTTACAGATCATTTCACCATGAACAGACAGTGGGGGTGGGGGTTGGGGGGCGCCAACCAGACAGAGGAGAGAAATAGTTCCCTCCTGGGGATCTTTTCAGCATCCCAACTTCCCCTCGTAATCCATCCTCGACCGAAAACTTCCCACCTTTCTTTCTGACTCTTTGAGTTTCTCAGTTCCGTATCCCGGCACATGCATATATACTGTCACAAATGTAGTCACACTCACTTCTAGTGTCGCACACACACACACACACACACACACGCAGAGAGTCAGGATGAGGTCATTGTCTTGAGAGCGAGTATTATTCTCAGCACCCTAAAGGGAGAAACCCTGTAACCCCACTGCCTCTCAATAGGCACAAAAGACTCCCTTTGAGGGAGGAGGCAAACTCCTATGGAATGTGTTACCAGGGTTTTCTATAACAAACTGCCTCTGAATTCACACCCTTTTCATATATATATATGTGTGTGTGTGTGTGTGTATGCATCCCTTCATCTTTTGGCTTTTATGGAGGGTGGATATTTTCCTATATCTAAATTCAGCTTCTACATTGTTGTAGTTTGGAGTTCACTTATCCTCACAGTTCATTTCACTTGGCTATACTCTGTATACCTCTGTCTGATAGGCACTGACATCAATGTGTGAACTAAATGTCCAACACAGTTTTTCTCCCCGTCACAAAGAGAGAAAATGCAGCCACCAGGCTAAGTGTTGATCTATTGCTGAGCCTTGTGGGGGAAAAAACAACATCTAAAGGACTCTTGAGATGCCTCTGGGTTTTTCCATGACAAACCATCGCCTTTCCCAATGTTGAGCGGTGGGAACAGGCCACTTTGTTTGTACGAAGCAGTGTCTAGGAGGAATGTAGGGTTTAGTTGGGGAGGGCAGGGGGAAAGTATGATAACTCCCACTCCATTCAGATTTATGGTCAAGACAGAGGGGCTCCTCTGGATGCATGTCAGGGGACTAGTAGAGCGCCGCCCCTCTCCTCTGGGCCTGCCAAAGCAAATGTTTAGTCGAACAAACCCTTGCTATTCTCTACATCCTCCTCTGTCTTTCTATTCTGTGTCTCTCTCTCTCTGTGTCATTATATGGAAAGTGGGCATTAGTTCCTCTGTGACGCTTTCACACAGATCATTGTGTGTTCATATTTCTACACTTTGTGTGAACAGGAGCTACAGCAGAATGTGGTTTTGAGTTTTGAACCTGATTTTAAACCAGAGATGGCCATGATTTTTAAGACTGTGGGGAGTCTGCACAGGTCACAATAAAATAAAAGCGTCAGGTCCGTAGTGTGAGAGGGTTCAGGTTTGAAAAGTCTTTTAGAGGCGTGGTTTACTTTTTCACTTCCATTACAGTTTTTCTCGAAACTCTAAACACAAATCTACAACTTCTCACCCAATTCCCCATACACCCTATTTTCAAGTCAAAACGAAGCTCTCCGTTCAAAACCATTCAATCTTGCGGAAAAACCAAACTTTGCCCTCAGGCAATAACACACAGGCCCTCAAAAACACACACACAACAACACAGTCTCACACACTGGTGAGATAAACTCAAAATAATACTACAAAACTGGTTAAAAGTAATGTTGAATAAACACAACAAAAGAAACAACAAACGTAAACATTTGCACATTTTTTATTCCTTGGTGTACTGTACAATACAACACACCAAGCAACTAATTATTCTGCCCTGGGACTGGCCAGAGATTCTTATCCTCCACCTCCTCCTCTCCCTACTCCTCCACCAACTCCTACTGTTCCTCTTCCTCCACCTCCTCCTCCTCTCCCTACTCCTCTTACTCCTCCTCCTCCAACTCCTACTGTTCCTCTTCCTCCACCTCCTCCTCCTCTCCCTACTCCTCTTACTCCTCCTCCTCCAACTCCTACTGTTCCTCTTCCTTCAGATTTCTCTGGATCCATTGTTCCAAAACTGGATGAACTGACTTTGGCCCTTTTATCTATCTATTGAAGCTTCTGATTGGTGTGTTATCAATTTTGACTGTTTGTGTTTCCACCTGGTTAGTTGCATGTTAGTTGAGCTCAAGCTGTGCTGACTGAGTAAACAATATTGAATGTCAGTGCTTTCTCAATGACCGCATGGTGTAGGCAATGAGAAATCAAGGGATTTGTGTGTAGAGTTTAGAGAAATGGGCGTGCTTTTTGAAAAATGGAGTTATAGTTATATATATATATTATTTATATATATATTATATTAATATAGAAATTTTAGTTCAAAAGCCTGGTGATATTACAGAAAAACTGTAATAGTTTGACATTGTGGGAGAAAAGGCTCTTTAGTTTTCTGATGTTAATTATGAAGCTAAAGCTAGTGAGCTTTAGAGGCACTGGTAGTTGAATGATGTAACCTTTGTACAGAGCCAAGCTCCTTTGTCCTCCATTTCCACTTTTTATGCTAAGCTAAGCTAACCGTCTGTACAGATTTTTACTGGGTAGATATGAGAGTGGTATAGATCTTCTTACCTAACTCTTGGCACAAAAGTGAATGCATGTATTTCCCAAAATGTCAAACAGGTTTTGAAATAAGAATGGTCAAGGCAGGAGAGGCAAAGATATCTTGACTTTTAGCCACTTATAAGCTCCAGAAACACTGGATCCTACATTTTCTGTACTTCTCATATGTGTTTTGTTAGACCCTCCCTGGTTAGTATGTGCCAATGTTTTGCATTTTTTTGTAATGTTTTTACAAATTTGTAGTCTCCAAGCCTAAGCTAAAGTTACCCTGATGACATCACATGATCAGAGTTACTTTCTCTGACTTGACAAATCTGTGTTGGAAAAATTCAGAAAATGTGTTTTTCACAAGGCTAAATAGGCCCAGCCATGACAAGTAATCTGATTTTAATGGGTGAAAATTGGTGGACTGTCCCTTTAATTGACCATCTCACTATCCAAATTATATTTAACCCAATCAAATTAGATTTTTAAATTTTGTTTATTCTGGAAAAATCTGAAGATGATCGTGCTCATAAAAAAGTGTCCTTGCCAATCTTTTCAGACAGGATTTTTAAATGTCCTCAAGTTAT